GACAAGCGGTGGTGTCGTTTAGTTGTTACTTCACAAAATGTTTTTGTAAAATAGAGACAAATAGCGCGCTTATCACGCATGCGGTCCACTGATAAAATATCCGATCGGCTCCCATCTACGCCACCCAGGCCTTCTCCACTCCGGAAGCGGTAACTTGGTATCAGATATATCTAGGAAGCTGAGAAGACTCATTTATACATTGGCCGGAATTCGCAAGTCTTTGTATAGGCCATATCGCATTCAGTGAGCCACTGCTACTCTGAATGGAAACGGAATGATTGCCACTTCAAAGAAGGGATTATCAAAAGTGGAGACTTCATTTTTGTCTCCATGTTTCGTCTTGTGTCGTGGTTTTTCAACTTTGTGAGCTCTTATTTTGTTATATAAATCTGAAGAGAAGCGCTCGCAGAGCCCGTTTCAAAGAAGCGATAAAAGTGAGATGAACAACCTGCGTTGGTTAGTTTGATGGGGATCCACTACGAAGACAAACTACTGTTTAGAATCGTGACAACACTAGAACGCATATCTTTTCTGTCCAGGGTTGCCGGGGATCTGCCGAATTGGATATGTCTTGCAGGGCAGTTTTGCCATTGGAAAAAGTTTTTACAAAGTAAGGCCCTCTCGAACACTCCTCCTCTGATGCGACCCCATTCGCCATCTCTCATCCTAGCTGCCATCTTCTTAAACTTTCTCTTTTGTGGAGAAATTCATCAATTTTGCTCGAAAAAACTATCATTGAGGGGAGGGGGTACAAGGCGTGCTTGAAACACGTAGAAAAATGAATACGAAAACATTTTCCTCAAAAGCAAAATAGCTCGCCTCCTCTAGCGACCAAGTACGACCTCCTGCTAGGGATCGCCGACCTATCCCCTGTCCTAGCTAATGTCTGATGGAAAGCCAGGTAGCCTACATGACATGGTTGTGAGCAGCCGTATACCTGATAGGCTAAGAGGGTACCTGGTCTGCATAAGCGCGATGGGTCGCCTTTGAAAAATTCCACTATCTAACCTTTCTTATTTCCTTATATTATCTAATCCTTTCGGCAATTGATGCAAGTGTTAATTTTTTGTGCGTACGAACCATCGTTGGAAGAACTATTGTAGACCATGGAATGTTGATTCCACTTATTTTTTTCAACTTGATTACTCTAAGAGTAATTTACTGCAGCTTCACTTCCACTGTCATCATCAGCTACTCGTTTGCGGCTCAATTTTATCATTTCACATGAAATTTTTCACTCTTTTCAACGCTCAATCGATTTGGCACTATATCACTTGTTGGTGCTGTTATGGTGGTTGAAACTGGTTGGGAGTTTTCTGTAGGTCCTCATGATATACCTGGTTGTCGGTTAGGAGATTCGCGTTGCGGCGGCGTAGCTGTGCAAGTGGTAACACCCTACGCTCGCACCAACTCTCAACTATTTGACGCAGACGTCGAGTCAACCAGCTGGAGTTTGTGCCAGTTCCGGTGCGACGTCGCAACGTAGATCTCCTGACCAACGCCGCACAGGGACGTGATAACCATTGAGGTCTCGACTGCTTCGTCGTTTTCTAGCGTCCAACCTCCCTTCTACGTAGACCCAGTCTCATGGCTGTAATTCATGACGTCCGAGGCGCGGCCCATCGCCCAAACTAGCAGCGTGATTTTTAATGCCACATTGAATCAGTTAGATCCCGATGTGAATGACACTGTTTGCAACTTCTCTTTCGCCGTATCTCGTATGTACTGAACTGCAGGCAGTCTCTTTTCTATCAGCAGCCAGAAGCTGTTCACCGAGTAGAGAGACAGGCTGAGCTCACCAACTGCTGCCGCGCGCCCGAAAAGGAACAGTCAGTGTCTGTCATGAGTGAAATATCCAGATTTTAGTGCAGTTTATGTATTTGGAATGGGGAGTCTGATCTTTTCTGCTAGCGATCAAGGGGGACTTTCTATCGTTTCTATTATTTGTCGTATCTTTTGCTAACATCTGAAACCATTCTAACCAGCGGTAGGTGTCCAGCAAGTCTACCGAAGATCCTGAAATTAGGATACTAGTTTCTCAACACCTCAACCTTTCCTTTCCAGTTTTGGGACGGTGTAAACTCTGATCCGCTTTTGAAATTTGCGAAACGATTCTCTGAACAAATTTATTCTGAGTTCGCTGCGGATCGTTGGGCGTGCCAGTGCGGCTGCGTTTGGCGCGGTGTGCCAATTCCATCAGAATGTTTCGACCGCCAGCCGGGGTCCAAGTGTTCACTAATTACTCTGTATCACATAAACGCTCGTGCTTTACTCTCGGTTTTCTACCTACCTTTTCCTGTCGCAATAGTGCCCTCGTGCTCAGGCAAGAAATGCAGGTGAGATATCGGCGGGCTTAGGAATGCCTGGTGTTGGCACAGCTCATACTGGGCTGACCACGCCAATCCGTTCCGCAGCGAACTTGGAGTGTAATCGGAGGTTCCCCTCCACGTCCGTGTTTCCATTGGGATGGCAGGGCAGGAGGACCGCGGCCTCCCACGAGGAGCCGCGGCTTTGTTGCTGACCTGGCAAACCGTATTCGCTACTCTGCGCCAGGTCGCATAAACTGAAGTCGGCTCTTCTCGAGTAGTTGTTTGACCGGGCGGTCACGAAGATACGACATCCACAGTAGGTCACTACTTTGGGCGCAATCACCCATCTGGAGGCGTCTCATTTTTAAAAGTGACGTTAAAATCAATATATATAAGGGCCTCTGGTATTGGGGATCTAGGTCTATCATCGTAGACTGTCCCAAAGTTGAAATCGTAGTCCCCATTCAGTTATTTCTCAAAGAACAAATCAATATTCATTTTGCGATAGGAGCTGACAATTCCCTCCCTCATAAGCTCTCCAACCATGATGGTGGTGTAAAACACTGCTGTATTCACCCTGGAGCCATACAAAGGGCCGTAGACCAGCCATTTGTTGAACCTATCGTTAGACTGAAAATGAAAAAGCGGGGAGACGATGGGGGATCATGCCGCTTCTCACCAAATACCATTGCACTGCATATAACCTTGACATTTCACTTTTTCACGCGTGATCTCAACGACAAGCGGATACACCCACATTCCCGAGTGGATCTCAGTGTGTGTCTGGCGTCAATTGAGCGGTCGCGCAGTTGGGAGCACCTCCGCCGCTCTAAAATAGCAAACGGAGAGGTGGCGGGGAGGGGGGGGGGGCGCACATTGCGCTTTCGTCTATGAGTGAGCGTAGTCGGCCACGCCTTGCGCGCAGCGCTGGCCCAGATGGCACCTTCTAGTTTGTCAGCCCACGCCGGTTCCACCCACGATTCTCTAGCACAGTAGGCATGTAATGAGCTTCATATCCATTAAAAACTCGCAACATGACAAGGACCAGGAGCTGTACGGGAGGTGACGTTGTACAAGTTTTGGCTTTTCGGTGTAAGAACGCGTTCCAGCGCTTTTGGACAAGTGTTCAAAATCTTCTCGTCGGACGGCTGGTACGCGCTACAAGTTGCAACAGGCGCTTCCAGTAGCGTGATGGACACGAATGCAGGGTCGCAGACTGGGAAATCGATTGGCGCCGCTTTGTTGTATCGAAAAAGTGTGGAGGAACTCGGATGGCACGTGCGCTTCTTAATTGCGCAGTTTGTATCGATCGGCCCAGTTCTGGTCGCGTAGGCACGCGTGGTACGCCGCGATTGTCGGCGCGTCATCGGCGCGAACCTAGTTCTGAATGGCTATTCTCCCATAAACAGGCTGTTATAACATTAATGAACCAACAGTATAGAGCAAGGACCCAATTATGTCCGTTACAGAGATTCGTTTCGCCAGTTTTCAGACGACAAATTCGAGCTCTCACTGGGCGTCTCCAAAGGACGAGTGATCTCGGCGTGGTGTGCTAATACCACATTTCTCACAAGACGTCCTGGCATTGAGGCAACTCTTTTAATGCCTATTATATGATGAATATCTTCGCCTGTTCTTCAACCTGTTCCTTGTTGGACGCGGAGCATTGGCAGTTCGTTATACTAGTAAAGACCGCTAACGACAATCATTTTACGTGTTCCCATTACATAGAAATGTTCTTCTTACTGTGCGTTGCATAGTGACAACTGAGCTGTATCATGTACTTTTTTGGCAAGTAAAATAAAAAAATCTCGTCTATAACTGTCTCCAATCCTGCTTGTGCGCCGAAACAGTGGACCGTGATTGGTTATCTTTTTGTGACAACTGTAGCAGATGTACATCTGTAAATTGACCAGCGCAGCTTGCGTTTTCGCTCTTCTTATGATTCTTTCTTTGCCAGTAACCCGTGAGTAGGCATTGGAAGGACACTCATTGTGTACAGCTGGAGTTCCGCTTATCAAAACGAAAAGATTTTCTGGCACTCTTCGGCTTGATGGAGGCAGCTTGGTTCACCATGCTATTCAATAGCAAGAGATTCCTTGGACAACATGGACAGGGTGTGTGCAGGTCTAGTGAAAGGTGGTGACTTGTACAATTAACCATTACAAAGCAGAGTGCAAAGTGCCCTTACCAAGCCGAACAGCGCCCTTTCTGCCTGAGCCTAAGGGGAGCTCCTAAGCAGGTGGACCATTGTCAAGTACAATATCTCATACAGACCACGTCCTGCCTCTGGAAAACTTTTTCGGAATATACGACTCCCCCTTCTAAAACTACCTATTACCTTTGTCAATTTTTTCCTTTTTCAACCGTTCTACCGCTTTTATCGAAATTTTAGGGTTTTCCCCCCACAAAATTTATCTGTCGTGAGGGGCTGTGTAACACCACTAAAATTAGAGTCAACAGCAAAACGCAATGCGCCAGGCAAATTCTCTTGAAAGTAGATACGACCCTCTTCCATCCTGTGACCAAATAAGATCCCCTCCCCCTCGCTGGGGATTCCCCAACATAGGAGGTCCCTGACCTCATCCTGATAATAATCATCTGAGTTTTGCACAAGGGGTCCCTCAAGTGCTCGGCCATAAGGTTACTAACGTCAGTTAAAGTAAACGTGAATTATTTTTCGACTTGAAGATGATCTTTCAGATGTGGCGGTGGGAGGGCCCTCAACGAGTGGTTCTGTTGGCATGTGGTTCGTTCAATCCACCAACGCTTATGCATATGAGAATGATGGAGGTGGCTCGAGATTACTTGGAGAAGCAGTTCAATTGCACGGTCCTCGAGGGATTACTGAGTCCCGTGGCTGACTCATTCAACAAACCGAATCTTGCCTCTGCTCATCACCGCTTAGCAATGGTCGAAGCGGCTACGTCGCATTCAAGATGGCTTCGAGCTGATGGTTGGGAGTGTCGACAAAAGTCATGGTCAAGGACACTTTCCGTAATGAAGCATCATCACCAGGACGCTCAGAATCGACTACATGGTGACATTCGCCTTGCATTAGTCATGGGCGGCGACGTGGTTGAGTCGTTCACGCGGATTCTCCCAAATGGAGAGAATCTCTGGCATCCGAATGATGTCCGCGAAATCATCACCAAATTCGGCCTAATCGTTATCAGACGTGAAGGCTTCGATCCTATGCAAACCTTGCAGTCGATGGCTTGTTTAAGAGACATTGTTGATCAAGTACTGATTCTTTCTGATGATATTTGCCCTTGTAGTGTTAGTTCAACTAATATTCGAGCTGCTGTAGCCTCCAAAAGATCGATAATGTTCACAACTCCTTTTGCTGTTGTAGAATATATACAGAAAGCTGGCCTTTATTCCAGTAATAGTCACAATGGTCAGGTTTCGAAGTAGTAACATGGTTAAAGGCATGAGGCATGATGGCTTGGGCGGGCCATTGTCGCCGACGTCATTGGTGGACGAGTGTGTGGGGTGTGGCAAAAAGCTCTCTCGTAGCCCTTCCACCAATGACGCTGACAACGACCGCCTGCCTCCAGCAGTCGTGCGTACTGCCTATGAGCATAGTGTGGTGTACGTGATGTGTGTTGCGTACACGATCCAGCATACAAGAAATTTGGGCTTTTGGAAGCAATTTTCGGGCACTTTGGCGACGGAGGGGGGGGGGCATGGCATTTTGCACTTTCGCTGCTTCACTAGTTCCGGTTTACAAGTCCCATTCTGGTGAAACCTGCAAACAAGCTGGAGCAAGCTGGTCGAGTCACCACGGTAAGACCTAGCAACTCTTGTAAGCTTACGAAGTGGCTCTCCAGATGGATCAGCACGTCAGAAGGGAAGTAGCAGAAGTGCAAGATGCCCCCTCCCCCCATTAGCCGAACTGCCTTTCAATGTTCTAGCTACTGGGTAACATTAGGGGAGGGTATAAATACAGCGTTCTGATTGTGGTCCTTTTGTTCAATGAGAGCTGACTAAAAACGATTCGATCTAGATTTGAGACTGACATGAGATCAGAAATATGAATGAAGAGACCTTTTCCTGTGCAGAGTTTTGGCTCGTGACACTTGCGCTTCCAATTTCCGCATTTCATCTCGTTTATTTTTGCAGTGAATTCCGCCTTTCGCGATTTTCTAATTTCCGTATTTTGTATTTTTCCAGTGATTCCCATTCTTTGCAGCGAAAATAACTTTCAGCGACTCTTCCCAGAATTTTCGCTGCGTTCACTAGTTTTGAGTTCGTTTTGGGCTGCGCTTACCTCATCAAGTTCAGGGGTACTGATTCTTACCTCTAGCTAAAGGTGTATAAAGGTATAATTTTAATTAACAAAAATCATCTCGAAGTATATGCTTGCCCTCACTTTGACCTCAGTGACCCTTCTGCTCATCATTTCTGCTTTGTTTTGATTGTCCCTGCCCTAGCCCTGCCCCTCCCCTCACTGATAGCATCTTTCTTCCTTGTTATTTATGCCGCACCACTCGGCATTACTCGCTCAACCATGGCTTATTCCCTCACTCGCCTGTTTTGAAAAGACCTACTATCAGGGTATCGGTCGGGTTTAACCATGATCTCTTATGCAGTTGTTGCTCAGCTTGTATGCTGTGATCTGGTCGTGAAGTAATGACAATATTCGATGTCATTTCCTTGCGCAATTCGGCGACGGGAGGGGGGAGCATTTTGTAATTTTGACGCTTTACTAGTTCTGGTTTACATGTCTAACTCTGGTGAAACTTGTCAACCCTTGTTGACAGGTGGTCTCTTTAAACTTTGGCGGGTATAACTACTGACTTTACAAGATTTCACAGGTATCTCTCAGCACGTCGATGGGAAGTAGCAAAAATGCTAAATGTCCCCCCCCCCATCGCCGAACTGCGCCCCTGATTTCTTTAATTCGCCTAATTATGAACTGAGACTTTTATGATTCTGGAAGTGTTTACGTTGGCATTTCAGATTGAGCAGATGTTTTTACTTGCAGTTTGTAGAATTCCCTTGATGTTTATTTTTTATGAAAAGAATGAATATTACGAATTTTGGTGTATGTCGGATGAATATCAGTGTGCGAAAGAGTCACTGAATATTTTGAATTTTTGACGAGCAGTACGTGTTTTGTTGTGTCAAATGTATAGAAGGGCGTATGATGAAAAGAAGCTGTTGGTTGGCCTCTGACAGCAGATGCTCCCATCGGACCCTCACAATGCCCGCAATCAATATCATTGTTAATGCAGCCTGGCCCTTCGTTTCTTAGTTTCTCAAGTTATTTTAAAGTTTGGACCATTTGATTTTCTCGGTCAATTATGCGGCAAGAGTTGTTCGCCTCGTTTAGGGACGATGGACAAAGTACATGAAAATGGTGCTAATCATCCTAATCCTACAACACTTCCTGTCGAACTTGTCCCTCCAACGATTGCAACACCTCGAAGCGAAGGAGTTTCCAAAGGTACTTCATATTAAATTAGTTATTGCTGCCCTTCAGCCTGGCTATTAGCTGTTTCTAAATCTTTTATTCTCAGAGTTGCTCACTTCATCTTCGACTTACATGTTCTATTTTGTCGCTTTGCCGTATCCTGCTCATTTGAAGATTCTCAACTCTTTTAGCAAACTTGTACATGCATTTATCAGCCTTCATGGTGAAGGAGTTCAGCCTAGGGAAACGTACCGTACAGGAAAATTAGGCGCTAATTAGACACGGCCGGCCGCAGGGCCACACGTATCCCTTCTTTATCAAGGTTTAGGGTTGAAGCGCTGACGATCAGGTTCACCGAGAGATAGCATATTCTCCAATAAGCCCCAGCCTTGATTAGGGAAAGGGACACGGATGTGCTGCGGAGTGCGCCCACTCCCTCGCCATCAGAGCCCGATTTTCAGTAGGAGCATAGGTTATCTAGAGTACCACACGAGTTAGTGATCAATATTTCTTGAAAAAAATTGAGCTACAGTCGTGTTCGCTGCGAATGATGGGGCGTGTCAGCGCGGCTGCATTTGGCCCGCCGCCAAGTAGTTTTCCACCAGTTGCTGAAAAGGGTAGGCCAGAACTGGCGGAAGACGGCTCATACGAACCATATGACACAGTCTTGTCGCTCGCCGAAAAGAAGGAACGGGTTGGCAGCAGGGTGCGCCATCGCGTTGTGATCATCCCCTGAAAAACACGACCCCCTGATATACTCAAATACGACCCCCCTCCCCATGCTAGCCTACGCGAAAACTTTCCTAGATTTACCCAACTTCCTACGATCTTTTTCCCAAAAAAATTCCAGATTTTCAACCCAGAATATCCCGTCGACCGGGGAGAGGTATATATACCCAATGTGAATTAGGAACATTTCTCAGTTTTCCCTGACCTACCAGTTTTTCCGAAATTTCCTTCTGGTTGGCCGAATATGACCCCCCCCCCTTCTAATCCGTCCGTGAAACAAGAGAAATCAACAGCCAAAAAATTTTCTCAGAGCAAATATGACCCCCTCCCTCGCGGTCAAATACGACCCCCCCTTGTGATCATCACAACAATGGCGTGCCTTGGTTAGCAGCCGCATTGCCGCGACCCATCATCCGCAGCGAACGAATATAGCAAGGTAAACTGATGTTACTGAAGCAAAAGGCCAAGCTCATCTCTTGAGAAAATGCCCCCTATAGGGCCAAGATTAGCCTTTGAAGCACGTCTTTTTTTTCTTTGTCACCGCGTTCTACCCAGGAGCTTGGGCACTGGGTAATGAAATAGTGAATACACTGCTTTTTCAGTTGTCATTGTCAGCTTTCTCCTGAACCAAAGCAGAAATATCCTTATTATTCAAATAGCATGATGTCTGAGCTTGGTTACTGCAGGCAGAGTCTTTTTACCTTGTGTCATTTCAATTCTGATGCTGGACTACGGTAATCCGGTAGAATAATGCGGCTTGCGACGTCGCGTCGGTGGCGATCTCGTTGATAATTGTAGTTTTTAGTCTCACAAGTGCGTTGGGCAAACATTGGCGCTGTAATATACGTTCAGATGTGTTCGGGCCGCAGCTCGCCGCCTTCTGCGTTTTCGCAGCGTTTCTTTTCTCATGACTACACCGCCACTCTTTGGTGTGATTTTTCTGTCTTGAAAATTTGGTTTCAAAGGCTTGAAGAAAGTGAGTGAATGTACTGACTCTCCGCTTTCATACTGGACTTTCTGTGGCTATCAAGTGGAGAGTATGCGCAAGTGATTTCCAACTTTTTGACATTACTGGTGCTCGTATAGGGCACCTGTCTCTCTTCGAGTGATTGTTTTACGGTGACCGTAGCTGCCGCGTTGAGTAATGTCATCTCGAAGGGCAACCTTGGTGCATTTCTCCGCTCGCTTTCATCAAACTTTTGCTGTCAACTGTTGCCCACGTGAGCACTCGCGACACGTCGTGCTTATGACTCGTTATTGCTCCGAAATATATTACGTTTTTTCGCCAACTGTTTCGTTACATTTTGCTGTACTGTGTAGTAGTATTATCAAGAGGCTCAGATTTTGAGCAGAAGCACCTCCTTGACTGTACCCGACTTTCGAATCAGAGCACGTCCTGCCGTTGGGAGAAAAATTTGCAAAATACGACCCTTTCTCCTCGAAATTTCCTCCTCTGCCACCACGCCTTCCCCATCCTCATCCTGCATACCCTACCCACCAACTTTCCAAATCCTTTTTATTTTCTAACACTTTGATCGGAGAAATTCTCCAGTTTCTCCTCAAAAACTGCTGTCAAGGGGAGGGTAGTCAGTGAGATGGAAAAAACTGTGAAAACTCAGCAAGCGAAAACTTTGTCCACAAAGGCAATACAACTTACTCCCTCCCGTTGACTCCAGCGTCTCCATCCACTGACCAAATACGACCACCCCCCCCCTTCGCTGTGGTCCCCAACTGTATGTATAAGTGCCTGTATGGAACTGTGTCTTGCGAAGTGCGACTGTGTTTTCGCTAGTCAGTCTTGTCAAAGTGTCGTCACAGAGTTGCGTGAAGTCATGCTGAACAACTGTCACGTAGATAGGCTTGGAAATTTGATACGAAATCTCCCCACAGCCTCGCCCTGATCATGGCTCAGAATCAGTGATAGCTGCTGATAAAATTTTCGATTCAAGATTTGACTCTGAATAAGAACATCTGCTACTGTTCTGTTCAATGAAAAGGATCCTTGCAGGTCTGAAACTCTGATGCTACAAAAGACAGATTTGGAAGAAAAAACACCAATCTTTCCAAGCAAAACAGGGCCAGAACTGTTGTACGACCACACAGGAGTTATAGTCTGGTTCCCTGCGAATGAAGTGGCTTGTCAGGCGGGATGGGTTTGAGGCACGACGCTAAGCCCGCCTTCCACCAGTTGTTGAAGCGAGCGAGGGACAAGACTGTATCACCTTGTTCGTGTTCCTTGGTCAGCACAATTTTTTTTGCTAGAAAACTT